TTGTTGTCAGCACGAGACTCTCCTATAATGTTTAAATATGAGAATGCTTGGCATGTTAATGACAATTTTCATGGCCCTATTTTAACCAGACACTACTGACAACAGTGCCAGAAGGTAAATATAGGCCATCACAGTGTTTCATTTCACACTTATATTACCTGCTTTTAGGGGATGAAAGCGACGGCATGCAAATCAATCTGTATTTATTTCCTTAAGGATTTTGCGTGCATTACCTAAACCCTCTATTGCACTGTAACTGTCTTATTATTTGAAATGCAATATTTTTAAAATGTTTAACCTGTAGAACCATTTACAGCGCACAAATATGGCCTTCTTATTATTTAATAATTATATAACCTTGTATAGTCGTGTATTTGTATCAATGAACTTGAAACAGCACCGATTGTATGTTTTTACATTATGTGTTATATTATTGATATAAAACCTAATAATTGTTATCAAATCCTAATTTGTATAAATGTTTATTATTTTATTTATTTGTTTTATTTATTTTTTTTTAATTCGGTAAACAACACGGGGAGGCCAGATATCTAAATAGTCTTCACGACTAGTCTCTAATAATTATCCTCCTCTTAATTTAACTTAATCTAAAGACATTAATTAGCAATCAACATTATAAAGTTATATAACACTATTATGAAAATATCATTAAACAATAATACACATTTTTAAAGCGCCTACTAAAGCAAACAAAACTGGCTTGTCACCGGCAATATAATGATATTAACTACATTCACTAGACTATACTAGGTCTACTTAGGCATTTGCATATTTAGTTCGGTTAATTATATCGTTGATTTTACTAACCACTAAACGACGTCTACATTTATGCCATTCGTATGACTGCGAAGGTATCCCATTATTTCGGCTTCCAGGCGATATTTATGTGACTATTCTACCGACTATATTACCGAAAAAAGGTTAATTTTGTTTTTGAAAAAGAAGTAAAACAGATGACGTCAAATGTTTAGCTCATTTTAAATATATGAACAGCTAAATGACTGTAGAGAATGGAACCGAATACAATACTGAGAAATTGTTTAATAAACTAAATTTGCTTTGATGGTTTCCTCCAAGCTCGCTTTATTTATATAGGCGTAGTCCTACTAAAGCCTAAAGTTGTACTTTTATAAAAGCGCCGACGTCACTTCCGCTGACACAGTTTATATTCCAACGAAGTAGGGCTATTATTAACTGAGTTCTATGAAGTGTTTATTATTATTATTATTATTATTATTATTATTATTATTATTATTATTATTATTATTATTATTATTATTATTATTGGTGTTGTTTTTACTTTTGTTGTTGTTGTACGGCTTCTAGTACGGCTCGATTACACCCACACGATATATCTTTTTAAGTTCAATTGTCGTAAAATTTGTGAATTGTAAAAACTGTGTCACTTCCGCTGACACAGTTTATATTCCAACGAAGGGCTATTATTAACTGAGTTCTATGAAGTATTTATGAGGCGAAAATAGTTTTATTTCATATTGACGTAGATTGAAACAAAATAAATGTGATAGCGCAAATACTATGAATACCTGGCTACGTGTAGGCCTATAATATCTTTAATCATGATACACGTTTTGGAAAATACAGTACTCGGTAAATTATGTAATTAAGCTAGGCCTACATAAAAAGCGCAAATGTTAAACAAATAGAGGGCCCGTATTCAGCAAGCAAGGATGGGGGTCTGGGAGGGTTGGTATTGCGATGGGTACTTAAATTTTTCCACTACCATATCGATAACTCCACATTTTTTAAGACAGTTCAGAATGTATTGGATACAAAATTTATTATTTTCTGCAATAAAGGTTAAAAGAAAATATTAAATCTTTACATTTTAACGAGCAATTTATCGTTAGACCAGTATTTGGAATTGCCTAGAAAAATAAGAATCGGAGCTGCAATCTGACCGGCTTTGACCGGGACAGATATCCTTAGTATATCCCATTGGTCTATTTTGTACACCCTCGCCTCTTCCCAATGTCAATCCTGCATACGGCCGCGGCCCTGATTAGGTCTATGACTTGTATTCTAGCAACAGAGCAGGTTATGGGTTATAGGCCTACGTCTCGTGTTCATTAGAAAGGATAAATTTTCACGCCTATCAATTTAGGCCTTTAGCACATTAATTTGTTAAATAAAGCCGACAAATCGGACAAATTAAAACGCCCTGCGCTACGCGTTTATCCCATGTGGGCGCGCAATGCCTTTCAAAACCAATTTGTAATATCTGATAATCCTACGTAAAGGGCAAACGATCCAATTACTATACCAATAAGATGTTTGCTTGGACATGGTTGGTTTATTATGGCCAGTAATAAGCCAATTGAAAATATACAAGAGATGGAATCGTCAATATATTGATTTCATTATGAGGAACTTCGCTTTGCCCTACCTCTATTGTCAACAGGCCGTAATAAATTGCATTCCAAACATAGGCCTACTTTACGTAAACAAGCATTTACTTCTATCGTATTGTAAAGTTTACTTCAACTTTCTATGGCCTACGAGAGCAGCTTTATATATTTAATTGCTAAAAAAAACAAAACAGTGGGTAGAATTAATTGTTTGCCAAATCATATTGTTGTGTCGGAATCAATTGCGTTTAGGATGAATGATTTGACTTTGTCTTCAATGGTTTAACATAGCTTTGTAATATACAGTAGGCCTATATGGTTTGGGATTGAATGGAAATTGGGGGAAAGCAGTTGTGGCGCTAGGTTGAGTGGTGGGGGGGTGCGTCGGGGAGAAAAACCACAATTCGTTAGCGGAGAAAAAAAAATATATGTATCTTGTACATATTAGTAGCTCTAAAATCGATTAAATAAGCCCTTTGAATCCATTTAATTGTCATATTTTCGGGGCTACGTCCCCTGGACCACTTTCGAAAGGTTTTTAGCGACGCCCGACCATGCCCACTTTTTCTCGTCGGGGACATCAGCCCACCCCCCCCCCCCCCAATCGAGGAAATCCTAGCGCCACCACTGGGGAAAGAGTAAGCAACTCCATCTTTGGACACATAACTAAGGCCATAAAAACACATCGTTTCAGCATTCTCCTCTTTCTAATACAATCTTCTATACAATCTTGGCCAATCTAGGCCTATACACCTTGACGACAATCAGCGGGTCACGCGAAAACCATTCATCTTTTCTTCAAAAAGTTGCCCAAAACTGTCTAAGATTTCAGATTTAAACCAAATTAACAGGGGTTGCGTAAACAAATTTTAAAATGTTTATTGAGGCAATTTTTTTTTTCAATTCATATGACATCAAATTATGTTCCTAGATCTTTAAGTATGGTTGACTTGTGTTTATAATAGTCTACAATTATTTGACTGATTCGGCTTGCTGTACAGGGTTAGTTAAATTAGGGAGATGTAAAAAATGTTTAATATCAACATCATCGTTTTAAGTCTGTTTCCCCACACACAATGATTATTTTTAGAGATTTCGAAGTACCATGTATTCAATTACAATAATACACAGTAATATCTTGGCATTTCACCACCGTATCAATTCTTAAAGTCATATTTAAGTACAATCATGGTACAATACTTTGTCAATAAGTTGTCTTTTTCATACCGATACAATCTTAGATAACCATACGTCTACACGTACAATCACGAAGCAATTTGTTGTTCCATGCTCGACTGAATTTGAGGAGTCACGTGACTATCAGGCTACTTAATTTTCCTTAATTGGTAATTCTCATATAGAAAAAAATATAACCGGATAAATAGGAACTCGACGACTGACGCACAGTAATAATTTGATTTGCCTCACGGTGGGTGTTTTGAATTAAGAAACCCCAGTGAATCCGGCGTACGCATTTCCTTCTTCGCGGTTATTCCTATTAGCACTTATTTTTCTGCTGCTGCTACTACAGTTGACCCAGGGTGTACGTGCAGTGGTTAATCACGGAACATTATTAAAAACAATTATCGTCTGCAAGACATCCAAATTCCAATTCTGTTGATATCGTATTTAGTATACAATACATTCAACCTTGCCCTGTAACCTACAGAACATTTCAGACTATATTAATATAAAAAACTAAGCCCTGTCAAGGCTCTGTTATTTTGAGAAAAACCTGTGGCATGCCTATATATAGTCATGACGACGTCACATCATGACCATTTTAGACACATCATGACAATATACGGGCATACAACAGTGTTTCGTCAAAGAAAATTTGATAATCTGGAGAAGATTTAAGAAAGTGATCACTAATAAGTTACGGTTTAAAATAATTATTTAAAATGTCTACCTTTAGTTTATTGACAATAAATAATTAGCAAATCTGCAAACATCATGAACATGACAACTAGGCCTACATAGAAATATTATTCATTTAATAATATTTATCATATATTTTGATATTGACTTAATTACATTTTGCAATGCTTTAAATTTAATGTATCTATACTATTTGTATATTGTTGTTAGTGTCTATCTATGCGGTTTGATTTAAAAAATAAAAATTATCAGTTTAATATTTTGGAAATTTTCATAAAGAAAGTTCATGTTGTAATGTTGTAATGCAAGTGCTCAGAAAGGGTGCTTTTACAATTTAACTGGCCATTGTAAAACAAAATATTTATTATCTATTTTTTCACTAACATGTTGCTTTAAAAGTAAATATTCTAAAATGTATAAATGTTTAAATTATTTTATTATTATTATTAGGCCAGTTATTAATTACATAATGTACTTGAACTTGTTTATAATTCACGTTTCAATAATTTGCTCTGGCAGTCCCTAAACCTTGTCCTGGAAACTTGATGTTAAGTTCGAATGCATAAATTAGGTTAAATAAAATTTAAAATGTTGAGAGGACACCGAGAAGCTCATATTTTACTTCAATACCTTCAAAGTGTATATCAGTTTTAGTAAATGTTATTTCTATTTTGTTATTAATGTCGGGAAAAAAAAAACTTATATTGTTTATTGTCCATCTTTTTACAGGTTTCACATGTGAGATGATTATTCCTGGTCAAGAAATGTCGACAACTCTAACCCCGGATCCGAATGTCGCTCCTGCACCGGAAGGCACGTGTCGTCAACTTAATTACACTTACGAAACTTTCGTAATCACAGAAACTGAGCGAATCGTGTTGATTCTAATGTTTCCGATCAGTGTTGTCGTGTTGTTAGGAAACGTATGGATTTTCAAGACTATCTTTAAAATGAGGACACGCAAAAAATATTATCACATCATCGGTAGCTTGACGGTTTCTGACTCATGCTTAATGATAATGTGTATATTTGTGGCTCATGAATGCTTGCATAACAAGCGTAGCTTTATATACTTGGACTACAAACCAGATATCAGATGGGTTGGTGGGTCGTATTTTGAAGTAATGTCGCTGCTACATGTGATTTTGCTAGCGTTTGAAAGATGCGTTGCGGTGAAATATCCCTTTAAGCATCGCCAGCTTCAGAAAAAACATTTCATTTACGCAATTGCAACGCTCTGGATTACGTCAGTTTTCATCACAGCAATATTGTATACTTCTTCTTATTATGGATATTCGAAATGCAGATTCGGTACTGTGTACCTCAACAATGGTACCGTAGTCTTAACCGTTGTTATTGCAATTGCTTTTCACTCCATAATTTTAAAAACTGCTACAAAACCTACAAGAGAAATTGCAGGTAGTATAAATAAGAACAACATGACTCGCCACCGGTCGATAACTCGGCTCAGTAAAAGCGATTTGAAGGCGGCAAGAACAACTTTTATGGTATTGTTAGGATTTATAGTATGTGTCACTCCATATGTAATCGCATCAAATATCGCATACTCCAAACACACTCTTGATAATATTAACACTCCTGCAGTGACAATTGGATATTTTCTTGCTATTTTAAATGCCGTTATGAACTCACTTGTTTATGGATTATTGAACGCAGAGTTAAGGCGGTCTGCATTAGCGCCATTGAGGGCGTTTTTCTGCTGTAAGGAGGAAGTAGCAACGCACAATCAATCGCGGAGGGGATCTGAAAATATTTTTCGCGTACGGGTGAATAATTTAGAAGAATGTCCTGTCGGCTTCATCAACGAAAAATGTGCTATATAATCTATCATGTCTTCTTTGAACTACATTCATTTTAACGACATAAAATGAAGTTATAATAAACCTAATAAGCGGCCACTACGTTTTAAAACTTTAAACTAATAACGATACAACGATATAACCCTCCACTACAGAACAGGCAGATGCATATGCTTCCAGGCTAACGTGAAGGAGTTCCCCTGATTTATATCTCTTATCTAAATGATTCATGACACACTCGTGGGTACTGATTTATTTGATTATTTGACTGCTGCATAGTCTTTCCACGCCCCACCTCACCCTCTTATACACATCTAGATGTGTTGTAATCAAATATATATATACAATATATATACAGTATATACTTTATTATTATATATATTATATTATATGTTATTTGTATATACAGTAGGCCTATAAGTGATATAAGCTATATAATTCTTAATGTATATATATTTTGATGTTGCAATCGAATCAAGCATACTCGTAGACTTTCAACAAATAGTTCATTTCATTGAAGGGCTATGCTTATCGGTACGATTGTAATTGCTACTATTATTTTTCTATTTGTTTATATTGTGTAGACGGTGCTATTTAAATATATATATATATATATATATATATATATATATTGTACATATTCTGATTATATTACTTATATTGTTTTGATTGATTTATTCATCAAATAGGCCTAAGTCCCTAAACATATTACCGACTCACCTTCTGTTGCTATTTTTAACACCAAAAACAAAAGTCAACTTTTGAACATCTAACATGCACAGCGCCTTTGATTTTTACTTCGGTTTAGTGATTTTGGCGCTTTATAAATTATTATTATAATTATTATATATGTTAGGTATATGTATATATTTGTGTACCGTATGTATTAATCAATACGTGAAATCAATTCCACTGGTATAAAGAGACGTTGTCATCGAATAGCCAGAATTGTAAAAGGAAGTACAATAAATAATATCTATAATTCAGTCAGTACTTGACATACATACAGGAATTGTGACAGATTTCTAAAGTTTCTTCCTCGTTTTGCTACAAGTACAATGGAAGGAAATGGGCGCGCCCTTATAGCGGATTCCACTACCAGGTTAAATTGTGGTGAATTGTTAAAGAGTTCAGGTAGCTTTGTTGTTAAACCTCAGATGATATGTTAATGCTAGGTCAATCTGATATCGTATTGACAGGGAAATATTTGAGCAGAAAAAAAAGAATAAACTTAAAATCACTGACAACAATGATTAAATTTCCGTTTGTATTTGATATATTTTACTCTCTGTCATGTTTAACCCGACTTTTCGCTTTAAACCCGCATTAATAACAAACGTTAAACAAGTATATTCTGATTTACTATTATAGCTAGGCAGAAGACCTAGCGAAATAGGCCTATGTATATGTTCGCTCGCAAAATACTCAAGATACTGAGCCTAAATTCGGCGATCTCTTCAGCACCGTCTTGAGACACAAATTATTGTAGGCCCACCTTAAAATTCTGCTTGTATAAATTCTTACCAATTACCAGGGGGGAAGCGCACACTCCCAAAATCCTCGGCAAAGGCTTCCTCCATTGAATATTTTCTATGCAAAAAAAAATATCACTCAGGTAAAAACAAATCACCTCATATCACCTTATTTTGCGAGCTGAGCGCCATAACCATGAGACCCCCTCCCACTTAACATTCGCGCCTCCATTAGCCCCATCATCCCCCTTTCAATAATCGTTATAGATACACGTACCACTGGCTATACTGTATAGCATACAGCCTGGAGCAACAAAAACAATGCCGATTGCTTATCATTGTCGTCGTGAACTGTCTTTAAATGAGTAAAAAAGTGTTTCAATCTAAGTCTCATTAGAATTTGTTAATCATTTGAGTCCTTTTCTCAGTTTAATGTTTGTCTTGAATGAGATGTTAATATATTTGAATTTACTCGAGTTAAGGACCTTATTTTGCGAATATTGAAGGTAAAAGCAGTATACTTTAATGATTGTCATTTATGAACTATTTAAAACCAGGTTTAAGAGTAAAATCTCTCGATCACAAGGCAGGTTAAAGAGTAAAATCTCTCGATCACAAGGCAGGTTAATGCATTATGATGAATTATATATATATATATATATATATATATATATATATATATATAATATTCATAATAGATCCGATTACACACTTGAGTCAAAGTAAGGTACATTTGGTGTCATTGACCGAAAACCTGCCAGTGCAAACCTTCCTGTTTGTGGTTGTTATAATAATCTTTAGAAAGGAAGAGAGATAACTATGGCTGTACAATATCAATTAGTTAATTTTAAGAATTGAAAATAATATTACGAGTAAATCGACATTCTTTCAAACAGAGATCAGACTAAATCGTTATAAGCCTATACTTTACACAAAAAAAACATCGGGAAGCATTGTTTGATTTGAATAATGTAGGCCTATCTATATACTGTTACTATATAAGTAATCAATATTTGAAAATAAATCGGTTCTCCAATCCTAAAGAATGGTTAAAGTTACGTTTGCTTCGATATTTCTGTTGATGACGTAATTTATTTCATTTGATACTTTATAATTCACAACGTTGAGGTCGCGGTTTCGGTAGCAGGCTGGCAACTTTAAATTCCTTCTAGAAAATGTTTATATTTTTCACCCTATAATTTAAAATTTTTAATAATTTCTAGCTATTATTAACATCTATGGGCGCTAATGCACTTTCGCACCTAACTTTTAATTCTTAATTTTTTTACCTGAATTTTCTTCTCAAAGTCACAACACATAATTATAAAACATTTTTACATGATTCAACTACTCATAAAGTACATTTTTTCAACAAAAAGATACCTTTATAAATATAGGTTGATACAGGGTTTCCGCTCTTGCTAGCACGACGAGCTGTACTTTTTTGCAATCAAGTAAGAAATTGCCAGAATGCCCGAGTCAATTCTTAAATTTTGAAACCATTAAAGGCCAGTCTTATAATTTTAATTGTAATTTTCCCATGAAACATCCGACAACAAAATGTGGCATCATGCAGTACCATCTTTTTGAACTTTCTTGTCGTAATCGAGGTTAATCGAACCGACGTTTATCATTGGCTTTAATGGATTTAAGCCTAGGCCCCTAGGCCCTATTTTTCGATCTGTGTACGCATTTGGATCATTACTAATTTTTGAAATAATTATTTCATGTGAACACACATAGTCAAACAACAGCACCATACAATATAAAGAATGACATACTGTACAATACGGCAAATAGATAAGTTTTCATAAACGTTTAATCAAAAAAACTTCACGCTGCGAACTCGGACATTCTGGCAATTTCTTACTGATTGCAAAATGGCAGCCGCTCGTTGGCGGCTAGCGAACAGAGATTCGCTGTACTTATTTGTGGGCTTATTTGTTGAAAAAGGTACTTTGTGAGTGGTTAAATCAGGTGAAAATGTTTGTTAATTATATGTTGTGACTGTGAAAAGAACGTTGAGGTAAAACAATTAAGAAATAAAAGTTAGGTGCGAAAGTGCATTAGCGGCACTTCTGTGTTCAAGACATTCCTGGGCTTGCGTTCCGTCACTTTTTTACACCATATTTCAAGTGATTGTGGACCCAGGGGCGGATTTAGGGGGGGCCGGCCCGGCCCCGGCCCCCCCCCCCCCTTTTGGGAGGTAAAAAAAGAAAAAAAAAAAAAAAAAAGAGAGAAAAAGGAAAAAATGATGGCCAAGAATGCCTCAAATGTTATGTTCGGGCGTCTAGAACACAAAAATTTCGCGGGGGCATGCCCCCGGACCCCCTACGACAGTGTTGTCTCAATCGGCCCAACTTTCGGCCCCCCTTCCGGCCCCCCCTTTTGGACATTTCTGGATCCGCCCCTGGGACCTGTGAATTGTTCCAGTGTTAGCCTAGCCTCCACCATTTTAATTTCGAGCATTCATTCCGCAATACGTGCATTCTCACCTGACAACACAAAAGGGACTTTGCTGTCTGTATAGGACTGGGCCCAGTCGGACAAGTAGTATCTATTATGTTTGCTATTATGGAGTACACGAAACTTGACACCAAAAGAGTTTGTTGGCCAAATCATATTACTATAATACATCCATGGCCAAATAAAGGTAAGGATGGCAATATTGGGCGATTGGCATTTTTCATCATGTAATCTTGGTCTCATTGAGTTGAACGGAATTTAGATCGGAATGCTGAATCATTTCATTTCATTTTAATCATTTATTCCACAATCAACTCAACATACTGTTAAAGAAAAAATAACTTAGTATTATAACCAAAGACAATAAATAGCAGAAGATAGAGCAGCTTCCCAATATAGTGGAACATCCGTTCAAAAGGCATTGTGGGTACACGGAGATCAATTTTACTGCAACCGCGCGGCGGCGCTATATAAAAATAATAAAGGCGCTGCTCTTGTTCGCTTGTTTCATTTAGTTTCTCCATTTAGTAAAATGTTCAAAATTTACTGCAACCGCATGATGGCGAATGTTCCATCGATTTTAATGCAAATACGCGGAGCAGCTCATTCTTCTGCTATTTAAGTTCTTTGTTATAACATATACTCGAAATAATTATGTAGGACTAATTAAATTAAACAAATCAATGTATGCATCATTGAAAATGAAAAGGAATAAGCAAAATAGGCAAATGAAACACAAATGCCTTAACTCATGCTCTCGTAGATAAAAAAAAAAATATAAAAATATAAATAAGCAAAATTTAAATAAAATAAATAATACATGAAATAGCTGCAAATTAATGAAATGTTTCTGTAGAAATAAATAATTTCCTTATTGTGCAATTATTATTGTTGCCATGATGTAAATTTCTACTTTTTTATGGCACATAATGTTCATTCAATTTTTTTAAAGATAATTAAATTTAAAAAAAAAAAAAGAAGAGGGGAAAATGCATTACTAATTTTCATATTTACACATGCTTTTTTTTTTGGGTAGAGAGGCTTTAAATTGTCACCAAGACAAGTGAGTTATGAAATGACCATAGAAGAATGAGCAGCTTGAAACAGAAATTAGAGTGACAGCATGAAGTGACAATATAAAATGAGACACCGGTGAGTTACTTCCTTATTATAGACATAGCGTACCAGAAATGGTTATACAAAAAATATAAATAGAAGTACAAGTTGTCTCGGGTACAATGTACTTTTCATTCAGAAACTCGGCAGGAAGCTAAACGATTAAGAACAAGAGGGCGTTTTCCACTAACTTCTGCTGCAAAAATTATAAGGTAATGGTTCTAAAACTGACACACAATGCACTGCCCAATAAAAATAAAGTAACAGAAACAGAGTAGATCTAGAAGAAACAAATAATGAAACAACATAAAGATCAACAATAACATAAAAACAGAAAATTTTAAGGAAATCAATGGCAATTATGCTTATTCTTAGGGGAAAATACAGTAGATGTATTCATTATAACACATAGCAACCGCGTATTTAGCTCTGTATCGTAAACTAGCATTAAGCCTCCATTATATTAGGTTGTCTTTGAATGAGATGTCAACACAGTTTAATTTACTCGAGTGACCTTATTTTGCGAATAGGTAAAAGCAGTATACTTTTATGATTGTCAAGCTACTGTATATCTTTTATTATAGTCAATCAAAGGTGCCAGGTTTAAGAGTAAAATCTATCGATCACAAGGCAGGTTAAGACATTATGATGAATAATAATATATATAAACAATTATTCAGCATAAATCTGGTTACATACTTGAGTTTTGCTATCTCTTGCCAGCAGAGTTCATTACTGAACAAAAACCAACAGTGCAAGTTCACTGCTTATGAGTAGTAACCTGTTTGTGGTTGTTAGAAGTACACACAAACAAATGTATCGGGAAGCACTGTTTGAATTGAACAATGTATCTATAGACTCTTACTATATAAATTTCAAGGGATGTATTATATAAGTAATTATACTGAGAGGCGATAGAGTTATATTCAGTATAATACATAACAACTGCGAGTTTATTTATTTTTAGTCCTGTTGATATTAAACAATTATTTTTATTATAATTAGGCCTATTATTATTATTATTAAGTAATTATTATTATTGTCATAGTCATTATCATTGTCACCTTTTCACTATCATCGTCATCATTCATACATTATTATTATTAGGGTGTCCCGAAAGCTCAGACCACGAAAGCTAAGACCTAAGACCACGAGATATCAGACCCACTCGAAATATCAGACCCCGCAAATTAAGACCCTCAACTAAGTATGCCAGGATTTCTAGACAATAATAGTAATGCCTTTATTCGAAAGCTAACGTAAAGCTAATACAAAGAACTGACTAATCATAAAATAAACACCCTTCATTAAGTATCATCGATACAAGCTAGGCCCGGTATTTGCGGCGTTTACTGGAGAAAACAAATACAGTACAAACAAACCGGCTATTCGCACTCCACGGAACCGTACGGTAGGGTTTCGGTACGTTTTCGATAGCGGTTTCTACGGTTTCCACCAGGCGAATTTATTCGCGTGAATCGAAAACGTCGGTTCATGCGTATGCGCGTTCACATCCCTATCGGAGTTTTTGCGAAGCGAAAAAATGTGCACCCAATCAGAGCTCAGGAAGCGAACCGGCGTTTTGATTCGCGCGAATAAATTCGCCTAGTGGAAAACCAGCTTGATGCACATCTATCGTGCGAATACTGTATCCGATATTATGGTTCTCGATCGTTCTCACTCTTTATATTTTTAGGATAGTTTGTTCTTCTTTTTACATTCACCTTACCTTTCTTTACTTGTTTCTTTTTTTTTTATTCGGGTTCAAAATATTATATAATAAAAAAGATAAAATTACAAAAAGCATAGAACTCGGAAACCAGGACCAGTGGCCGATCCAGCGAAGGGGGAGGGGCATGAGGGCCCATGAGGGCCCTAGCCTGTACGCTAACAACGGTTTATTTGTACTGTATTTGTTTTCTCCAGTAAACGTCGCAAATAGGGGCCTAGCTGGTACATGGAGTTATTATTATCAAAATAATTATAACTCCATGGCTGGTATCGATAATACTAACTGGTGTTTATTTCATGAT